ATAGCCTTGAACACATCTTATGCCCAGTTGTGTTGATGGACGCCATACACCCACCTGGTACCCCTTCCCCACTCACATCCAAACATGTTCCTGACACCCCCACTGTTAACTGATAACCCGACACTTCCCCATGCCATCACTGTTACAGTATAGCCTTGTACACATCTTATGCCCAACTGTTCTAGTTGTGTTGATGGCTACTGACTGTGGTTTACCAGAACATGGTTCACCAGAATATGGCCTCCTTCATCCAATATGTTACCTGAGGTCCTGAAAAGGAATGTTTTAATTTTGCAAAGAACACGAACAATGGGAAACCTTTGGATAATACCTCTTTAGTGTTTCTCCAATGAGGATGTCACGTTAACACTGGTCACATATGCTGGTCATATGCCTTAGTGATCGGGTGGTGAGGTTTGATGACCGGGTTGATAGCGTGACAGTGTTCCCAGTGTGGTCAGGCTTGGTGACCGGGTTGATAGCATGACAGTGTTCCCAGTGTGGTCAGGTTTGGTGACCGGGTTGATAGCATGACAGTGTTCCCAGTGTGGTCAGGTTTGGTGACCGGGTTGATAGCGTGACAGTGTTCCCAGTGTGGTCAGGCTTGGTGACCGGGTTGATAGCATGACAGTGTTCCCAGTGTGGTCAGGCTTGGTGACCGGGTTGATAGCATGACAGTGTTCCCAGTGTGGTCAGGCTTGGTGACCGGGTTGATAGCGTGACAGTGTTCCCAGTGTGGTCAGGCTTGGTGACCGGGTTGATAGCGTGACAGTGTTCCCAGTGTGGTCAGGCTTGGTGACCGGGTTGATAGCATGACAGTGTTCCCAGTGTGGTCAGGCTTGGTGACCGGGTTGATAGCGTGACAGTGTTCCCAGTGTGGTCAGGTGGTCAGGCTTGGTGACCGGGTTGATAGCGTGACAGTGTTCCCAGTGTGGTCAGGTTTGGTGACCGGGTTGATAGGATGACAGTGTTCCCAGTGTGGTCAGGCTTGGTGACCGGGTTGATAGCATGACAGTGTTCCCAGTGTGGTCAGGCTTGGTGACCGGGTTGATAGGATGACAGTGTTCCCAGTGTGGTCAGGCTTGGTGACTGGGTTGATAGCATGACAGTGTTCCCAGTGTGGTCAGGCTTGGTGACCGGGTTGATAGGATGACAGTGTTCCCAGTGTGGTCAGGCTTGGTGACCGGGTTGATAGCATGACAGTGTTCCCAGTGTGGTCAGGCTTGGTGACCGGGTTGATAGCATGACAGTGTTCCCAGTGTGGTCAGGCTTGGTGACCGGGTTGATAGCATGACAGTGTTCCCAGTGTGGTAAGGCTTGGTGACCGGGTTGATAGCATGACAGTGTTCCCAGTGTGGTCAGGCTTGGTGACCGGGTTGATAGGATGACAGTGTTCCCAGTGTGGTCAGGCTTGGTGACCGGGTTGATAGGATGACAGTGTTCCCAGTGTGGTCAGGCTTGGTGACCGGGTTGATAGCATGACAGTGTTCCCAGTGTGGTCAGGCTTGGTGACCGGTTGATAGCATGACAGTGTTCCCAGTGTGGTAAGGCTTGGTGACCGGGTTGATAGCATGACAGTGTTCCCAGTGTGGTCAGGCTTGGTGACCGGGTTGATAGCATGACAGTGTTCCCAGTGTGGTAAGGCTTGGTGACCGGGTTGATAGCATGACAGTGTTCCCAGTGTGGTCAGGTTTGATGACCGGGTTGATAGGATGACAGTGTTCCCAGTGTGGTCAGGCTTGGTGACCGGGTTGATAGGATGACAGTGTTCCCAGTGTGGTCAGGTTTGGTGAACGGGTTGATAGGATGACAGTGTTCCCAGTGTGGTCAGGTTTGATGACCGGGTTGATAGGATGACAGTGTTCCCAGTGTGGTCAGGCTTGGTGATCGGGTTGATAGCATGACAGTGTTCCCAGTGTGGTCAGGCTTGGTAACCGGGTTGATAGCATGACAGTGTTCCCAGTGTGGTCAGGTTTGATGACCGGGTTGATAGCGTGACAGTGTTCCCAGTGTGGTCAGGTTTGGTGACCGGGTTGATAGCGTGACAGTGTTCCCAGTGTGGTCAGGCTTGATGACCCAGGGTTGATAAGCGTGACAGTGTTCCCAGTGTGGTCAGGTTTGGTGACCGGGTTGATAGCGTGACAGTGTTCCCAGTGTGGTCAGGTTTGGTGACCGGGTTGATAGCATGACAGTGTTCCCAGTGTGGTCAGGTTTGGTGACCGGGTTGATAAGCGTGACAGTGTTCCCAGTGTGGTCAGGTTTGGTGACCGGGTTGATAGCGTGACAGTGTTCCCAGTGTGGTCAGGTTTGGTGACCGGGTTGATAGCGTGACAGTGTTCCCAGTGTGGTCAGGTTTGGTGACCGGGTTGATAGCGTGACAGTGTTCCCAGTGTGGTCAGGTTTGGTGACCGGGTTGATAGCATGACAGTGTTCCCAGTGTGGTCAGGCTTGATGACCGGGTTGATAGCGTGACAGTGTTCCCAGTGTGGTCAGGTTTGGTGACCGGGTTGATAGCGTGACAGTGTTCCCAGTGTGGTCAGGTTTGGTGACCGGGTTGATAGCGTGACAGTGTTCCCAGTGTGGTCAGGTTTGGTGACCGGGTTGATAGCGTGACAGTGTTCCCAGTGTGGTCAGGTTTGGTGACCGGGTTGATAGCGTGACAGTGTTCCCAGTGTGGTCAGGTTTGGTGACCGGGTTGATAGCATAGCGTGACAGTGTTCCCAGTGTGGTCAGGTTTGGTGACCGGGTTGATAGCATGACAGTGTTCCCAGTGTGGTCAGGTTTGGTGACCGGGTTGATAGCGTGACAGTGTTCCCAGTGTGGTCAGGTTTGGTGACCGGGTTGATAGCGTGACAGTGTTCCCAGTGTGGTCAGGTTTGGTGACCGGGTTGATAGCGTGACAGTGTTCCCAGTGTGGTCAGGCTTGATGACCGGGTTGATAGCTGACAGTGTTCCCAGTGTGGTCAGGTTTGGTGACCGGGTTGATAGCGTGACAGTGTTCCCAGTGTGGTCAGGCTTGGTGACCGGGTTGATAGCATGACAGTGTTCCCAGTGTGGTCAGGCTTGGTGACAGAGTTGATAGCGTGACAGTGTACCCAGTGTGGTCAGGTTTGATGACCGGGTTGATAGCATGACAGTGTTCCCAGTGTGGTCAGGCTTGGTGACAGAGTTGATAGGATGACAGTGTTCCCAGTGTGGTCAGGCTTGGTGACCGGGTTGATAGCGTGACAGTGTTCCCAGTGTGGTCAGGCTTGGTGACCGTGTTGATAGCATGACAGTGTTCCCAGTTTGGTCAGGCTTGGTGATGGGTTGATAGCATGACAGTGTTCCCAGTGTGGTCAGGCTTGGTGACCGGGTTGATAGCGTGACAGTGTTCCCAGTGTGGTCAGGTTTGATGACCGGGTTGATAGCGTGACAGTGTTCCCAGTGTGGTCAGGTTTGATGACCGGGTTGATAGCATGACAGTGTTCCCAGTGTGGTCAGGCTTGATGACCGGGTTGATAGCATGACAGTGTTCCCAGTGTGGTCAGGCTTGATGACCGGGTTGATAGCATGACAGTGTTCCCAGTGTGGTCAGGCTTGGTGACCGGGTTGATAGCATGACAGTGTTCCCAGTGTGGTCAGGCTTGGTGACCGGGTTGATAGCATGACAGTGTTCCCAGTGTGGTCAGGTTTGATGACCGGGTTGATAGCATGACAGTGTTCCCAGTGTGGTCAGGCTTGGTGACAGAGTTGATAGCGTGACAGTGTTCCCAGTGTGGTCAGGTTTGATGACCGGGTTGATAGCATGACAGTGTTCCCAGTGTGGTCAGGTTTGATGACCGGGTTGATAGCATGACAGTGTTCCCAGTGTGGTCAGGCTTGGTGACAGAGTTGATAGCGTGACAGTGTTTCCAGTGTGGTCAGGCTTGGTGACAGAGTTGATAGCATGACAGTGTTCCCAGTGTGGTCAGGCTTGGTGACAGAGTTGATAGCATGACAGTGTTCCCAGTGTGGTCAGGCTTGGTGACCGGGTTGATAGCGTGACAGTGTTCCCAGTGTGGTCAGGTTTGATGACCGGGTTGATAGCATGACAGTGTTTCCAGTGTGGTCAGGCTTGGTGACAGAGTTGATAGCGTGACAGTGTTCCCAGTGTGGTCAGGTTTGATGACCGGGTTGATAGCATGACAGTGTTTCCAGTGTGGTCAGGCTTGGTGACAGAGTTGATAGCGTGACAGTGTTTCCAGTGTTGTCAGGCTTGGTGACAGAGTTGATAGCATGACAGTGTTCCCAGTGTGGTCAGGCTTGGTGACAGAGTTGATAGGATGACAGTGTTCCCAGTGTGGTCAGGCTTGGTGACCGGGTTGATAGCGTGACAGTGTTCCCAGTGTGGTCAGGTTTGATGACCGGGTTGATAGCATGACAGTGTTCCCAGTGTGGTCAGGCTTGGTGACAGAGTTGATAGCGTGACAGTGTTTCCAGTGTGGTCAGGCTTGGTGACAGAGTTGATAGCATGACAGTGTTCCCAGTGTGGTCAGGCTTGGTGACAGAGTTGATAGGATGACAGTGTTCCCAGTGTGGTCAGGCTTGGTGACCGGGTTGATAGCGTGACAGTGTTCCCAGTGTGGTCAGGCTTGGTGACCGGGTTGATAGCATGACAGTGTTCCCAGTGTGGTCAGGCTTGGTGACAGAGTTGATAGCATGACAGTGTTCCCAGTGTGGTCAGGCTTGGTGACCGGGTTGATAGCGTGACAGTGTTCCCAGTGTGGTCAGGCTTGGTGACAGAGTTGATAGCATGACAGTGTTCCCAGTGTGGCCAGGCTTGGTGACCGGGTTGATAGCGTGACAGTGTTCCCAGTGTGGTCAGGCTTGGTGACCGGGTTGATAGCGTGACAGTGTTCCCAGTGTGGTCAGGCTTGGTGACCGGGTTGATAGCGTGACAGTGTTCCCAGTGTGGTCAGGCTTGATGACCGGTTGATAGCGTGACAGTGTTCCCAGTGTGGTCAGGCTTGATGACGGAGTTGATAGCTTGACAGTGTTCCCAGTGTGGTCAGGCTTGGTGACCGGGTTGATAGCATGACAGTGTTCCCAGTGTGGTCAGGCTTGGTGACCGGGTTGATAGCGCAGTGACAGTGTTCCCAGTGTGGTCAGGCTTGGTGACCGGGTTGATAGCGTGACAGTGTTCCCAGTGTGGTCAGGCTTGGTGACCGGGTTGATAGCGTGACAGTGTTCCCAGTGTGGTCAGGCTTGGTGACCGGGTTGATAGCGTGACAGTGTTCCCAGTGTGGTCAGGCTTGGTGACCGAGTTGATAGAATGACAGTGTGCCCAGTGTGGTCAGGCTTGGTGACCGAGTTGATAGCGTGACAGTGTTCCCAGTGTGGTCAGGTTTGGTGACAGAGTTGATAGCGTGACAGTGTTCCCAGTGTGGTCAGGCTTGGTGACCGGGTTGATAGCGTGACAGTGTTCCCAGTGTGGTCACGCTTGGTGACAGAGTTGATAGCATGACAGTGTTCCCAGTGTGGTCAGGCTTGGTGACCGGGTTGATAGCGTGACAGTGTTCCCAGTGTGGTCAGGCTTGGTGACCGAGTTGATAGCATGACAGTGTTCCCAGTGTGGTCAGGCTTGGTGACAGAGTTGATAGGATGACAGTGTTCCCAGTGTGGTAAGGCTTGGTGACCGGGTTGATAGCATGACAGTGTTCCCAGTGTGGTCAGGCTTGGTGACCGGGTTGATAGCATGACAGTGTTCCCAGTGTGGTCAGGCTTGATGACCGGGTTGATAGCATGACAGTGTTCCCAGTGTGGTCAGGCTTGATGACAGAGTTGATAGCATGACAGTGTTCCCAGTGTGGTCAGGCTTGGTGACCGGGTTGATAGCATGACAGTGTTCCCAGTGTGGTCAGGCTTGGTGACCGGGTTGATAGCATGACAGTGTTCCCAGTGTGGTCAGGCTTGGTGACCGGGTTGATAGCATGACAGTGTTCCCAGTGTGGTCAGGCTTGGTGACCGGGTTGATAGCGTGACAGTGTTCCCAGTGTGGTCAGGCTTGGTGACCGGGTTGATAGCATGACAGTGTTCCCAGTGTGGTCAGGCTTGATGACCGGGTTGATAGCATGACAGTGTTCCCAGTGTGGATTGTGCTTACAATATCACTGGTTTGTCTATTCCTGAAGTGATCATCATTCTGTTCCAAGTAATAAAGCTGAAAGCATAATATCAACAGTGTTGGCATTCACTTCAGTCATTCAGTCAATCACTTCAAAGAGACCACCTACTAACCAGTAATAGTTGTTTAACCATGTGGATGAGGTGAGGTGAGATGTGTCGAGTCAGGGTGAGGTGAGGTGAGGTGAGGTGAGATGTGTTGAGTCAGGGTGAGGTGAGATGAGATGTGTTGAGTCAGGGTGAGGTGAGATGTGTTGAGTCAGGGTGAGGTGAGGTGAGATGTGTCGAGTCAGGGTGAGGTGAGGTGAGATGTGTTGAGTCAGGGTGAGGTGAGATGTGTCGAGTCAGGGTGAGGTGAGGTGTGTCGAGTCAGGGTGAGGTGAGGACATGCACCACCCACACTACTGTTGAACCTAACTCACTCACTCTCAAAACTCACAATGTAAATCCAAACATACAGGCTTTGATCCTTGTAAATAGGATCAAGTTTATTTTGAGTAGATCTAGATTTTGAACAAATGATAACAAACATTTACATTTCATAATTTTTTATTGGGTATTTCATAAAATTAGCACTATGGCTCACCTGAAGTTTCAAATTTCAAATGAAATTTTAAGACACTTTCATCCACCTTCATAACATTATTGCTCAGGTGTGAATATGTGCAAAGCAAATGCTCCGTCAAATGGTTCCAGAAGGTTTTAACAAATGTTTATGTACAGCAGTGTTACTTGTAGATTTGAGAACAAAATTTTAAACAAATTATATAACATATAATCTAAATAATAATATTGATAAATTTATCCATGATGCATCTGCTTTAATCTGAGTCATGTTACTGTGATTTGGATCCTCTGATCGACCACTTAGACTTGAGCATTTTCAGGAATGGTAGAATGCTGTGATATCTCCTGGTATTTCACATGTCTTCCATGTTACAATACTGCCCAAGTATTTTGGCCACGTCATGTGCCCGCTGCTGCTGCTGGGCAAACAATTCAGTTGACTTCACATCACAGCATTATATATTGACATGAGCATTTGTTTCAGGTGAGCTAACAACTAAACTAAAGTTATAACATAGCTAGACCTATATAAAAAAAATACATTTACCAAAAATTATTTACTTAAAGGGGAACTGTACACGAATAAATCACATTTATTCTTATGTGAATCAAAGTGAACTGTTTTAATGAGTTAATACCAATGTTTGAAAATATACACTTATTTTTCTTACAATGTAAGTACAACCCACAAAATAAGTGCTGATATGTTACGCCAATATGAGGCCTTTGTTTGCAGAGCTAAAACAGGCCAGAGTTACCGCCCTTTGATTATGACGTAATTGGTGCCACTTGATATTAAACTGGTCTCCTGTCTAGTCCCAAGATAAATTATACTGAAATTAATCATGTGAAAAAAGTTTGTGAAAATTCGAAACAAGCATAAGAACAGACAATGTAAGCAGCAGGACAGATTGATCGTGTGTATTTTCATTCATAACCTCACCTCAGTGAAAATACCAAATGTGTATAACAATGTTGAGGTCCGTATGACATCACTATCGGGAAGCGACTTTTTCAAAATGGCGTGTTCACTGACACGAGTACGAAGTTTTCGAAGACATTTTCGTTGTTTCAAGCAATATTTTATTTAACTATCGCTTGCTACGATACCTTTCCATGCATGTTCTAAATCTAATGACCAGGCAACAAGTAGGCGAACGGATACACAGTGTAAAATCTGAGATTGGCTTTGTTTACATTTCAAACATGTGGTCCTTTCCCAGCCCGGCATCTGATATATTTCGTTCAATTTCACTGAAACACTTCGAATCGGTGACAAAGTTCACTTGCCAGTTTATTTTGAACTGTATGTGGAATTCAGGGATTCCTGTCAGGAAGATGGTGTTGAACTATACAATTTTATTAATTTTATGGGCGAAACATAACCAACATACATGTGACGTAATTTTATAAACACTCTGTAATATGGCTTTGGTGTTTGCGTATTTTCCTTAACATTCTCAGCGGTTCTCGGTTCATTGACAATGCTTCAGAACGAGCATTGGTGATTTGATCATACAACAACAAAACTACCGCTGGTCACAATGATACGTCTTTTTCTTTTAAATTGAGTTCTCCCAGTAAAATTTGACATTTGAATTAAGAAATACTATAAATTAAGCAAAACGCAGTAAATGGTGATTTAGTAATGTGTCAAAACTGGCTTAGATTTACTGATGCATGTAATTTTCAGTATATTTGATAATATGCGGATGATACATCTATCATAGAAAAACGAATTTCAAACAGAGTTCAAAACTGCAAATTGCATTTATCTTCGTGATGTATTTGGATATGGTATCGATATCAAAGTGAAGGTGGAAGAGGAGGACATATTGTACGATTTAAGTAGGAATTTTAGTAACAAACGTGAAGGCCGCACATTCACAGATGGCAAGCTAGATGTAGTGCACGCTTTAATTTTTGTGACAAATGATACTGTTGAAAAGGCTTAATCGACTCAGGTTGAATGTTATACAATTTGGTTATGTGGTAACACATTTAGTACAATGTAAACGTTTTTTCAAAACAGCAACGTCACTACAGTGTAGAACTGACCACATAGCCAGCTGACGGCTAGGCAACAGGTGGATCAAAACAGTAGCCTGCGAATCGAGACACAAGAACCACACCTATACCTGCACCACGTGAAATGGGTCTAATAAGGTCTAACGACGTCATTCGTTTATCGTTTGGGCACCAATGACGTCATTTCCAAGGGACATAAGCCATGGTGTGTTTATTGTGGACATAGAACTCTCGGTAAATGTTGAAAATGTGAATTGATATAACGCAAAAAATAAATTAGTTACTTCTGATATATGTACGTGTTTGGATATATAACTACTTGATAAACACTTTTTATGATGAAAAAGTGCAAGACAAAAAGGTTAATTTTCGTGTACACTTGCCCTTTAAATCTATTAAAAATACAACAGGTTGGACAGATGAACGAACTGACGGCACATATTTCTAAACTGAACCGCAAAAGAAATGTCACTTCAATGGAGAAGATGAACACAAATTGAGAAGGACAATTAAGGTGAAAGTTTATATTTATGATTTCCATGTGTTACATAAATCATGGCTAGTTTCCTTACACAAAATATGTTCCCAAAATATCACCAGAACAGATAAGAACATAAGAGCTAAGAGTCGGTATCTTGTGTGAGCGCCATTGGTGATTATTATATTCTGTTCAAGAAGGGAATTACTTAGCTGATGAAAGCTAAGCCTGAGTAGCATGTGAATGAATGACCAGCAGTTGTTGGCTCTGGCCTCACATCTTTCTGTCTTCAGTGAACCTCAAACGTCCAGTGGGTTTAAATCTTGGACAAGGCTGGCCATGGCATGATATGGACCAAACAGGAATTCCCTGGTTGCTATGGCAGCACAGGCACAGGCATTGTCATGCTGGAAGACATGGTTACCATGACATAAAAAATGTGGCATGACTGAGGTCCTGGGACTTGATTGATGTCGCAGGCGCTTTGACTCCATTGCCTCTTACAGGACCAACTTTCTGACTTAGAACAAAAACATCCGATTCCATAATGTTTGTGTTGGGTTGAATTCTTTTGGAGAACCACTCAGTCCTCATTTGTCTGACCTTTTTGTCAATTGAAAATAATCTTAGACACAGACTTATGTCAAAAACAAGATGCAAAATATGCATCAATATTCTGGGGAAACATTGATGAAATATTTTCTGGAAGTGACATTTCTTTTACAGGTTACATCCAACAGTCTTCCACCAAGCTTCTACTTCTAACTAAAATTTCAAAGCAAGTGAAAAGTAAAA